AGGAATGAAGGTTGGTATTCTTTACAAAAATTAATTTTTGTACTTTATATAATACTTGTACATGTTACATGTACTTTACATACTAACTTTACATAAATTTGTTAATATTACTACATTTAATTAATGGAATCAATTTAAAAACAGGTTGGTGTGGCACTCAAGCCAGGAACACCTGTGAATGTGGTAACAGATTACGCGGATTTAGCAGATATAATTTTAGTGATGACTGTGGAACCTGGTTTTGGTGGACAGAAATTTATGGAACCAATGTTAAAGAAAGTTGCATGGTTAAGGGAGAACTATCCTGAACTAGATATCGAAGTTGACGGTGGAGTTGGACTAGCTACAATTGAAGCTTGTGCAAAGGTGTAACTTCTCAAAGATTACTGCAATATATAAATAATTCAATCAGACGTTGGCCCATGTAAAACTATAATACTGATCTCGGTTCATTCGTACTACACTGAATTAATGCATATTAAAAAGGCTATTTTATATAGTGTCTAAACGCAATGACGTAATATAATCAACCTTGACAATGAAATAATATATACATTTTCTGTTAAATAATGTGACAATCATTATTTAATCATATAAAATATGAGTTTTTACAGTTAAATTTATTAATTTTATATACAGCAACTTTTAGTGTGTAATAATCTAGTGTGATTGAGTTCGAATCATTAATCATTTTGATGTTAATATTACTTTTTAGGCTGGTGCTAATATGATCGTGTCTGGCACGTCTGTTATAAATTCTACTGATCAAGCTAAAATAATAACGACACTTAGAGACACAGTAAATTGCTATCTGGGTAGTCATTCAACATAGCGGTGGCAACTGAAGATACTGTAAATATATAAAGCATTTCTGCGATAAATTTGGTATTTTATATATGTATATGTACAAAGATTTGTATTTTTAATAAAGCATCAATTGATGTGATAAAATTCAATATAACTTTAGAACAGACAAATGTATTTATTTTATTTGGCTATTTCTATCCTTTATGTAACTATTATTTTTCTAGGATTTCTTTAGCTACTAATTTAGTTCTCAATTCAGATAGAGTCAAGAGGATAGCTTCTTCTGTTCTAATTGTTCGTGAGCCTTGCTGTGGACACGTATTTATATATTTATCAAAGACTAGAGACGGATCGTCAACGTTTAAATGTGGATCCACATCTATGGCAGCTTCTAATCCAGTGAGACCTCCAAATACTATGAGACAGTGATGATACTCTAAACTCTTTGTTTTTATCTCGTCGATTGATGTTCCCTTATCAGATGTTCCAATCGTCAAATCATATCCTCCTTTATATTGACAATTTGTCAACACCTCTGTTAGATTTTTGGCTAGTTTGACATTGTAGCCCCAATAGATACCAGTCTCTGCACGTGGCATGTTAGGTGGTACAATAATACCTTTCATTTTCTTCCGATTTGGCTGATCCGGTGGTATTTTCACTGTCACCCTTAACCCAGCCATCAGCACCTTATCTACATGAATCTCATTTAACAATCCTACATTCACTTGAGAACCTCTGCTGGCCTTTATGGGCTTATTGGTAACTATACCCTCTCGATACAAAAATTCGTCTTCCTGTCTTAGATGATGCGGCGCATCCAATGGATTTAGCACACCTGCGTACTGTAAGTCCTTGTGGATTGGAAAGAAGTACTTTCTCAGATATTGTGGACACTCGAGATACTGCAGTATTCTGGCTAGTTGTAGACATCCGAGTCTGGCCTCACCCAGCACATCATCCTTCCTGACCTTCCGCTTCTCATCTTCCGTGATCTCACCCTTGTCATCAAACACCATGATCTCATCCACTTTGTAGATGCATGCAGCACGTGCAATCTGTCCTGCCAAGTAGGTACGTAGTTCTGGGGATTGTGCATTGTCAAGGATTGACCCAGGTACTGCTATACTGATGGTACATACGTCTCTCCGTTTGTACTTCGTATTACCTTCTTCTGTGTACTCCTGCGTCTCATTTTTTGGTTCTTTTTCAAGTTCTGCCTTCATCTTCTTTGTCAATTTTTCCTCTTTCCATTGTTTTCGAAATTCCTTCCGTTTACGATTGTGCTCCTTCCAATTCTTTACTTCAGGCTTTGCGGCCGACATTATTTCTTCTTTGAAACTCGCCTTAGTTTCGCACAATCCGCAACGTTCCCAATTCAAGCGATCAAGACGAGAGACTTAACCTCAAAGCACTTTAATGAATGCATACAATATAATTTAGGATAAAAAAGGCAGAAGAATAATGATGAAAGTACAACATTAAATGGATTGTCGTTATTAATTCGTTATTTTTAATCGTAAACTACTTTAAATCTTATTTCAATGATTTTATCAGAGAGAAATTCGAGATAGAACGTTGTTAAACGTGCCCGCGTTTTATTTTTATGTAAATTGAAGACTTCTCTTTCTTTATCGAATATTGCAATGGCTGTCGATTGTCGCAATGATCGTTTCGATACTTCGAGAATCACAGTGGCGCGCTTCGATAAACTTTGAATCGCATCAGTCAGGAACACTCGCTCTACATTTGTCTAAAAGTAAATTTCACCGGTAAAAGATCTTGTACAATAATCAAACATTTGTTATAATGTATTTGTTATAATGTATTAAATTGCATGCGATCTAATTAGACATGATGTAAAAAGATATATAGTCTTGTTCCGGTGAACAGTGACGTTTTTTCGTAACCAGAAGCAATCACTGTTAAGGCTATCTTCGTGTTATGATCCCTGAAGAAGTGGTAGCTTCTGGATAACGAAAAAATGCCCCTATTTCGATAAAGAAACCATCATTGTACTAGGATAAGTTAGATAAGTACTTTAAGGGTATGTAACATCTCTATCGTGTAAATTCGCATTTAACTTACGAAAGTGTGACACAATTAAATTGCACAATATGGACAACTCATCGATTTCTCAACGTCGGTCACTGTGACTAGATTTAAATCAGCTTGGCTTTGCTGAAAGTGTCCACTCGTCAAATTAACCGAGACTTTGAAGCATCCAAGTAGATCGAGTCAAAGGTGCAGTGCAATAAAACTGTTGGAATGCGGAAAACTAAACGTAAGTATGTGAGTGTATGTATTTATGATCATCTTAACAAAGTATTATACTTCTTTAAGTTTTAGTTTTACGAAAGTTCTTGGAATTCTGCAATTATAACGTATAACGTATAAAGAGAGACAAAATCTTCATAAAAATTTTCTTTAGTTTTTGCATAATGTGATTATAAAAATTTTTTAAACGTCGACGTTAAATGATGTCTTTAACATCAATAAGACGTACGTCATTGAAAAATCATTTAACTATTTGAGAATATTTATGATAAAAATAATTTTTACTCAAATAATATTTTGTTAATAAATATTATTTATAAAACAATAATATAATATATATTTATGATGAAAAAGGATTAAAAAATTCCTAGATTTTAGCGAAGGCAGACTTCCTTTCTTGGATGAAGACAAAAACAAGATCATTGATCTTCCGTATGTATACGTTGAAGATCCGATTTGGAGCATTCGACACCATAGTTTAATGCTCAAGGGCACTACAAATCAATTAAGGAGATGGCCGAATGATCTTTTCAGTTCATTTATGGCAGCGTGTCTCATCCTTCTCAGTTTTATTTTTCTTGCCTTTATCACGGCGATATTTTGTTCACCCATAACGAAC